TGAAGAGCGCATTCAACAGGTGGCTGACCCTCGGGAATAAGCTAACCACACTAGTTGCCAGGTACGGGTGCGGGGTCCTTCTACTCCTGCCGAGCGATTTGAGGAATGAAGAGTTAGTGCACAGTGCTGTCTGCTTGGTCAGGTACTAACTCCGTTAGCATTCGACGACTTCGTGATGGTGATCTCCTCGCGGTGGTGAACCGGTTAGATACGCATGTCCGACTGAAAGACAGCATCCAGGCCCTCACAGAAGTACTTCTCAGTCTGGTCACATGGGGCATCCTGCCTGTGGCGAGAATTGACTTGGAGACGTATGCCTCTGCGTCGCAGGTTCGAACACTGGCTTCGGAGCCTATGTTTCTGGGGGGCTTATTGTCTTGGTGTACTGGCGCAGCATCCGACCCGGACCTCGCGATGTTGACGGAGCCAGCTCTCCATTCGGTGACTGAACACCGCGACAGCACGGCCGAGGTGGACAATCTTTCATTTCACGCCGACGACTGATATTCGTGTAGCATTAGCCAATAGAGGAAACATTGCAAAAAAACATAAGTGATCTTCATAGAGAGAGCCCTCGACATCACTCTAGAAACCCCTGCCAATTGGAACTCCTGAAGATCGTCAAAGCAAGACATGACGAAAGCTCCGATAGAGCCACTGGTATAAATCGAGACAACATCGCCATGAACTGCCTACGAGAGTATACTGCGTCTATAGGCAAGCGCTAGAAGACGCCGATCTTGTCCTTGATACCGAAAAGAAAGGGACACCTGGCCACGTCGTAGACATCTGCCACTTTCCGCAATTCTCTGCGCAGCAGACAAAGATGCTCCAGTTGGTTCAGCACCCGAACATCGTCACGGTTCATGAAATGTATAGCGACAAGGCGAATCATCACGTCGCCTACGGACGCATGCCACGATCATTGCAAGAGGCCGTCGGTAACTTATTTCTCAATCGTCAGCGCCTATCAGCGATCTCATGACAGGTCTGTCCAATCCTCCCATGAAAGCCCATTTTGTCTCACAGGTAAACATGCAGTCGAGGCACTGGTTTATCTCGAGAGAGTAGAGTCGCAGCATGGCCAACATAGCTGCTCTTGTATCCTGATATACCTTAGCGGTAGGGTCAAGCTGAGCACTACTTGATTTGTCGTCCATTGGCGAATTTGGCGCTGATCAGAATGTCTAGGCAGCCAGGAAAATTGTCGACCACGTAGCCGTAGGAAAGACTTGGGCGACTTAGGCTACATGATGATGGAGCTAATGTAAGGATATGTGAAGGAGGGCGCCAACTTTGGGCCGGACGGTCCGAAGCATTGGGGTTTGGAAGTCGTGAGCTTCCTCTCAGCGACAACTGCCGCAACATCTGCGGACGAGTTGAGCGAGGTTGGCCTACGCCGATGCCTTGTCACATCAGCCACTGATGTGTCTCTAGCATCCTTTCCTGCGTTCGTGGCGAAAAGAAAAGTCGAAATGACTGCTTTCTCTGGTCATGGCATGGACTCGGCAAGAATATGAATATTTCGGGTAGCTGGAACGAAGTTAGCGCAAAGCCATACATCGAGTGTCTCTCGCTTGGCCCTTTTCCTGACTGCTGCATCGATTGAGGACAGTCGATGAATGAGATCCTGAACTGCCACGATGAACACTGTTTTTTGGAGGTGCTGGCTCCTGACAGCAGCGATTGGCACGTGGCTTCATCTATACAGGTTACACTGTTCAGGCCGAGAGCCTGCCCAAGCGGACTTCTGCGTGTGCAGCTTTGCTTGTGCAGAACTCTGCGCAAGCTACATGCGCTTGAGCGCATTCCTGCGCAGGCGGCTCTGCTCAAGCTTGCTTATGCGTGGGCAGCTCTGCATGAGCGCAATACTGCGCAAACGGCTTTGCTTGGGCGATATTTCTGCGTGAGCAGGCATGCCGAAGCAGTCTCCTGCGTATGTAGCTAGTACGCTGAATTATTCATCAGGATTATGCCTGCTCGAGTTCAAGGCAACCGCAGCGCAAGCTCCCCATCCGACCTGTATTTAGGGCAGGAATCAATCACGATGAAGGGTGCTGATCACTCAGCTATTCCGTGCGCACGGCACAGATGAGATAGTGAACAACTCAGCTCATCTGCTATTTAGCCTAGACTATCGCGTGGGCCAAATAGCCGAATGTTGTGTCTAGAAAGACAGATATGGTCTTGCAAGTAAGAGTATTTCTTGGATTCTGTTCCATATCTGGTGCTATGTATGAAAGTCCTAGGACCATTCTCATTCGTAATTGACGCGATAAACAAAGAAGCGCCCATCCGCCGAGACTAGAGAACAGGCAATCAAAGGCAAGATCGAGTTCGGTATAATTTTACGAATACCACAATTTTCCTTCCTGATGGAAATAGACGAGAATATCATAGGCAAGTGAGCCTAATCTCTTGACGGTCGTCTTGGCTTCATCATTATCCAAAAGGTCTTTACGTGCGGCGAAAGCCTCGAGGACAGCGTCCCGTAAACCCCGATCAGTATCGATGGTGGAGGTGTAGGCCTCGCTAGCAGCATATAGGAAGTCGCTGGGATCCCAAACCTGTGCTGCAGCAGCCCTGAATTTGGCTACAGCAAGGTCCTTAAGACCGTCAACGGCATATTTCTCTGCCGCTGAATACACCTTGGCATGTAAAAGTAGGCAAGACACGCTGGCGGCCTGTTTTTGCTCTACCTCCGACGACTGCAAGAGGCCGTCTGTGTAAAGCGATTGTCGGTAGTCCAGGAGGTAAAAGTATTGCATCATCATGTCAACGACGCAAGGGTCGTCGTCAGAAAGGGCAATCATTCCGTCGGAAGATTCCTGTATCGCCGCCTACATTAGCACTAGAGACTCTGCGCGCGAGAATAGTCTGGCTTACTTTGAAAGGACTACGACATGCGCCAGCCAAGAAATCAGACCGTGGACAGACTATGGCGCGGTGGACGGAATAGGTTTTGGCAGCAGAACGAATCGTCAAATCTGAGTAGATCCCGGTCTTGTAAAGGCTGAGACATTGTGAGCGGGAGATCAGGCAGACGGGTGAGTAGAGCGTCACCTCTCAAGGGATCCGAGGAGGTCTTTTTGTGGTCGGCCGTCGGAAGCCATTGTGGGTTGAGCTGCGACGGTCACGGGGGTAGGAGCTAAGGCGGGTGCCGGCGAGGTGGGCTCTTCGGGCAGAAAGAGCTCCGGAAAGGCTCTGCGCGCAGCGTGAGGATACTCGAATATGCTGTCCTTCTGGAGGGATCGTATCACGGTGATCAAGCGTTCTGTAGAGAATCCGGAGACCCAAAGGTTGTGTTCGCGGACGACGGGCGCGATGGCCTTCCGCTGGCGCAGCCGGCCGTCGTCGAAACCTGAGAATATAGCTCTGCAGCCGGAGTCGCGATAGACCCTGATTCTTTCGGATCTGGATGGCTCTGCATGCACACTGGCATTCTGGTTGTTCTTGCGTGGCATGTTCGCCAAATGTAAGGACTTGGAAGCAACTCGTAGCCGATGGCTCGGTCGACGAATCATCGGAGGCAGAGCCAGCCATACCGGGGAGTACCACCCCCATGACCCCGCAGACCAGGCGAATGAATGCCCAGGCGACCCTCACCCTGCCGGTGGCTGCTCGCTGGTCGGTTGCCAACTCGGTGATAGCCCGGGGGCAGCTGTCACTTAGGCAGTCTGTCCTCGATGTGGTTGCCGGTGGGCGGCTCAGCCTGAGGAGACCTTTATTCATGGTCGCCAAGGCTTGCCCTTCGGGGTGATGCAGGAAGGCCGAAAGACTACTTCCAACATGAGTGCTCCGCGATACAGATCTCCGACCTGGCGAGGTATGACGTTGTGATTTCGCTGTCGCCGTTATCACCAAGTGCATCAGCTATGCGTTGGCCAAGACTGAAGCTGCGTGTATTCTGAGCGTCATGTCCGAGGCGCTTTGGGTTGGTCATTGTTGTCCTATACTACACTAGTGGTGCGAAGATGGGCTCTAGTATCCCGCGCCGGCTGTGCATTCATCAAGGAGGAGTTCCAGCGAGGCTAAGGATTTTTGAAAGTCCCCTTGCCGTTCGAGTGTTAATCTGCGCGGCGCGACGTAGCGGTAATCAGAGGCCTTGACGGTGAACTTGGAACGCATGTGAACACCTGAGCCACAATCGAGGCACACCGGCCGTGACTAGTAAATCACACAGCTCCTCAATACTACCAAGTCCCTGAATAAGGCCATGACGATGTAAACAGCTTTCACGAACGACTCTTGGTTCGTCTGTATCAATCTCTACACAAGGAGCCACGAAGAAGCAGCGCAGCAAGCTCATTAGTAACGAGCTGACTGTCTCCGTTCCCAGATGCGTTTCCCTGCGTCTGCCTGGCCGTACCGCCGTAGCATTCTACCGGCGTCCTGCTACGCTCGCCCCTCTCACCAAAGTCAGTTTGGATATTGCTTTGCTTCCCCTACTGATGTATGACTGCCGGCAGCCCTTCACAGGGATATCTCATAGCCGCATCGCTTAGCTATATCTCCCCATCAGCTGTTTGTGAACAAAGTTTCCTCCCCAGCTGGTAATGAAACTCTTTCCGGACTTGTCGATGTGTTAATCCTCGGAAGCGTGAGGAATACTCTACTTCTTCATGGGTAACAAGAGCACCGTCCGAGCTGGTTCCCAGACCCACTGGAATGGCATACTGCCCGATGTCTGCACGGCGACGGAACCTGCCTGCGCGATCGAAAAACCCATACACAGCTCGGCGAAATCCTTCGTTTCTCCAAGCCTGATGTATTTGTAGGTCATGTCAGCGGCCATCTTTGGCGCAGACGCTGTATCGGTTCTTCGACGACGTGTCAGTCCAGGGCCCGGCTTCGTCGATGCTGCTTGGTCTCGACGGGGTAGCCGACTTCTTTCCGTTCTTCTTCGAGTCGTGTGGGTCGGCCAGCAAGTGTCCTTTACTACTCTTGTTAGTTATGTAGATACGTCGCAAGGCGCTGCAAACCTTTGAAGGTGCCTATATAGACTACATCGTCGTCGTTCGATTCCTTAGGTGACTGTTGTCCAAAGCCCGACGTAGTTGCTGCGGTGTGCTCAACCATATTGCATGGCCTTCGCGCTTTGTGCATGATGAACTTGACAGGCCGCATGAGCAAAGAGGGCAATAGCCACCGAAAATCGGAAGGGTGACTAGGTGTTTTGATTGGGTTCTAATTTGCGGGGCCGATGCGGGTTCTTGCCCTTCTTCATTGGACCAGCGATAGATAGAGTAGGTACACAGACACAAGTGGAGCCCATCGGTTCTCTGTTGTTCTCTCCTCCAGATTTACTCCTAGCTTTTGCCCGAGGCATCCCAATCACTTCGGACCCCTGCTGAGTTTCCAATCCAGAACTGGAGCTAGTGACATCACTCTCTCAAACTCGGTCTTCTAGACCCACGATACGTCTATGATGTACCTTCAGTCCAGCAAGCCATGGGTGTACTACGATTCTGGAATGCTTATGGAGACAGGAAACAGGATCGAGGTACTTGGCGGAAGTGCAGGCGATTCTGGAATCGGATCTGTTCTGGAATCGAGGCCTGGCGGAAGTACAAGCGTTTCTAGAATTGGATCTGTTCTGGAATCGGGATACCTGGCGGAAGTACAAGCGATTCTAGAATTGGATCTGTCTGGAATCGGGGTACCTCGTGGAAGTACAAGCGATTCTGGAATCGGATCTATTCTGGAATCGAGGCCTAGCGGAAGTACAAGCGTTTCTAGAATTGGATCTGTTCTGGAATCGAATCTGTTCTGGAATCGAGGTACTCGGGCTGCAGAAACACGAATCTGCTTTTTACTTCTGAAAGTGTATTGTGAAGTATCGGGAAGATTCTGGAATACCTGCAGCTTTGAGGAAACAGATCCATTCCACCATTTGCAATCCCTGCAGCAGAGAGACTTAGAGTGACGACCTTCATTCGAGATTCTTGCAGATGCACGTACGCGCAAAGGAAAGGGACATGACGAAAGTACGGAACCGTTGCCACGGCTTGGTAGCATGCGACCCGCTTCTATGAACACACCCTGCCAATAATGGTCTAGTCTGTTTCAAAACTGCAGTCTCACTCGGAGGTATTATCAAAATCAACAAGCAGATTCCAGTCTCCGGAAACCCCAAAACCATCCTTGGAAAGCCAAAATTTGCGGCCTTCTTTCACATCGGAGAAAAGTGGAAAGGTGGGCGGCTAGTGAAACATTTCCTGCGATGTCGACGGCTTTGGTGCGTCCGTACATGTTCCAGGGCAACCCCGCCGACAGTTTCGATTGGCTAGCTGCGGATTGTCTCACGGCTCCCTTGCGTACCCCTCCCAGCCACCCTGAAGCTGACTACTGCTGGTTTCAAGTTCGGGGAATTCTCTACATTGCAGATGTCACGGCGGCTCCTTCTAACGCAGCGCATGTTTGCCAACGAATCCGCAGTCATCCAGAGCTTGGTCCGCCATCAAGTTCCGAATGCCGCGGCCCTTTGGTACGACGGCCGGCGGGCAGCTCCCATTGATTGAGTAGTTTGCGCAGGTAATGCTTTCTCAAGGCAGGACCCGTGGGCCATCGTTCCTGACGATGAGGTGCTCGACCCAAGTACCATTCAAGAGCGTAAGCGCAGAGGAAAGCGCAGCATGAGTCCTCCCAGTATGGTCCCAGCTGGTTGATGTGAGTGAAAACATGACACTCCAAGAATGACCTGAGCGATACCTACTTCGTGAGATTTTTGTCCAGTTGGACGACAGCGCCGCGAAGTTCCGAGACATATTCATCGATCCTTACGCTCCATCGAGAAAAAGCAGTTGGTTGCATTCCAAAGGCGTCGAATGTCTCTGTTTTCCAATTGACAATTGCGAGTATCCAATGATTTCTATTGTGATCTGACATCTGATCTGCCGCGTTGACGTTGATTGGCAGTACCACACCGTCAAACCCTTTGGCGAACGCAGAGGCTCCCGAGGGCAAGAACGGCTCCGAGAACCGCACAAGCAATGGGTCTATGGTGTGAAGTGTAGAAGTGCCACAAACGCATTGAAGAATGGCAAGAAAAAGGATGTCATCAACATACCGTCCTGGACAAAATTGATCTAGCCTTTGTCTGAAGTGAGCTTGGTCGCGACATGACAGCCAACCGACGTGGACATGCTCGACTGCTTTGTCAATCAATTTCACGATGGACCTCGAGAAAGACCCATGGCTGGTTCTCGGTTTGGTGGCAGGGTCGGGGTTGTGATCGGGACCGACGTCGGTAAAAGACGCTGCATTCGGTTCGGCCCCATACCTGGGGCTGTGCTCTGTTGTTAAGTCAACGAAACACATATTACGGGATGCCGGGTCGGCTCGGCATCCTCTGACAGTGGCACGATCGACTCCGGTCAGACTTGCATTGGTCTCTGCGAGCGATGTCGAATTCAGAGGTGTACTAAATGCTTCTTCCCTGCAGGTCACAATGGAGGAAGTAGACGGTAAGCGGACGGACAGGACGCATGCTTGCGCCTCAACAAGCTTGCCAGCGTTGGGACCTAGAGAAGAATTTTGTGTCGATGAGGGTTCATAGACTGGACTGACGCTCAATAATCGACCAGGCTGACTGATGCAGTGGAGATGTCGCCGAATGGTTTCGTCAAGAAACTTGACTTCGCTTTTGACTCTGGATAGGGAGCAGAAAATAGTGTCTTGTACTGGAGAATCCGGCAGAAGCGAGCGGTCGTTTGACGAGTGCTGCAAGAAATCTAGGATTGCCTGAACTCGCTTGAGAAGGACGGGAAGCATATCCAGACCGTCTTTCAGCTCGTCGCATTCCTTCTTTGACGGCATGGCTACGGTGGCTTTGCAAACCACGAGCGTTCCGCACAAGGAGTAGGCACGAATTTTCCTACATAAACGGGAAGGATCTGATGCCGCCTCTGGGAGACAGAGACATTAAATAGAAGGCTGAGTGCAGATCAACCTCCATGCCAGTGATGGCTCACTCGTTCCGTTGTCTGCCTGATTTCTCACGGCGCTTACGTTCATCCAATCACAGAGACTTCAGCCTGCCTGCTAAGCGCCGCCGATTGGTCGATGGTGCCGTATTTGTATCCCTTAAGGAAGACATGCTGCTTTGTGTTGCTATTTCCGTCGTTTTGACCCCTTGATGCCTAAGGCAAAGGTTTGCCCTCAAAGCGCAGCCCTAGAATCTCCCAAATGCATCTCCCAAATGCATCTCCCAAATGCATCTCCCAAATGCATCTCCCAAATGCATCTCCCAAATGCATCTCCCAAATGCATCTCCCAAATGCATCTCCCAAATGCATCTCCCAAATGCATCGATAAATTGTGATTCTCTATGGCAGTCATGTCGACAACGTGTTCCAGCTCAGCGCGTTGTGCAGCTAAGTCTCCAAGCAGAAGCTGGCACCGCTCATAGACGTACGGAAACGCATCCCTGTTGACTAGCTTGGGGCTTTGTGTGTGTTTACGCAAGAGTCCTCCGGAGTAGTGTCCTTAGGCCGTCCGAGCCTGTTCGCTAGGTGACTCGATCCAAAAGCAAAGCTGGAGGCCATCGCGACTAAAGCACCGCTGATTGTACCGTTTGGATGTCACGCACTTCATGTGGTTTTACTTGGTCATCGGCTGCTTACCGTCCCATGGTTCTTAACGTCAACGACTCGCGCTGGCGGGTAATGACTCTATTCCCACGGCAGTCAAAGAAGACAACGGTGGTTGCGTTTCGGGCGAACCGTCAACATCAACAGACCTTTCCTTCGCGGCCTCAGCGTGAGCAGACGGGGTGAGGAGGTTTCAGTGCTGGGATGCGCTGTTACTGTTGGTTTGGCCATCCACTCGCCAAGCGCACCGTAATACAGCTGTATGGCTTCGTCCAGCTCAACGGAGGAGTGAACACGGCATTGACGTAACACAAAATGTGAGCGCCGATGACCTCCACCGATCGAGAGCGCATGTCGAGCCAAACTAGAGGCCACGACTCGGCCAGCCGCAGTGACCTTACCAACTGTTTTCTCAGGCCTCCCTAATGTCGGCATCGAGCAGTGCAACATCTCTACGACCCTGGTTTTGCCAGTATTCAGCGATCATTGCTGGATTGCGCAGCCGCGCGGATCTTTCGGTGATATCCGTCCTCTCTGTGCTGCCCTCCCATGATACCCGAAGTATGACTTTTCGATCCCGGCGTCTGCTCTCTTGAGCTATGGCAACCCAATTCGAGTGGATAGCCAGAACGTGCCACTTGTCACGCTGATGTTCTCCCAAGCACGCACGATGCTCAACGCCCGATGTATACGCCAGCCACTCATCGGGGGCGTTGATCTGGAGTTCCCGCTCCGGCTCCCACGACGTTGCATGATGTGGCCAGAGAACGTGGAGCTCTACTCGTGACCGATCGCATCGTGACACTCTGTGTTCTGTTATACGAACGATATCGGGACGTCGGTGAACACTGTCCTCGCTTCTTTCGGGCTCGGTATCGGCAGATGCGGCAGCGCGGCGCGTGAGAGGGTTCGGTTGTTGGGGTTGGAAAGCATCGTCCGAGCTCTGATTTCTGCCAGAAGGGGAAAGAGGGTATTCGGCTCTATTCGTCTCGATCAAGGCAACGATGTGAGGGATTCGGACAGGCTTGGCATGTTCTTGCAGGCTTCGGAGAGTTGTGAGTTCAGGACACCGTCGCACTCAGCAGCAGAAGGAGCGACCCACGATTTGAAAATTTCCCACCTGTTTCTGAGCGCCTGGCGCAGCAGTCCACTACTTCTTCGACTCCTTTTCGACAAGTGTTTGGGCGGTGGCGCAGGTCTTTGATGCACTCCTAGACGGCGATGCATTACCGATTGCTGGTGTCCTGGAATGCGAAGAAGCTGGTGCTCGGAAAGAACCCTGGATTTGCCCCGCCTGTTAGCCCAGGCATTCGTTGTACTACGCGTCGAAAATCCGCCTGCAGGTTTGGTCCCGGAAAGTCAGGCACAAACCTGGTCTCTCTCGCGCATTCGGTATAGTGTGTTAGGTGTGTTATATTTGTTAGGTGTGTTCGGTGGAGACAAGCTTCGACATAACTGAAATACCGCAGGCTCTGCAATAAAACATAGCTGCAGTAAAACACGACCCAAATATAACGAACGTTGAAGCGTTAACAACTAACATAACGAGTCGCCTTCAGGCGTATTGATGGATGGCTTTTTGAGCGTCAAGTGACAGCAAAAAAAAATAAAAGCCCAAGAAATCTTCCCAACATGATTTCAAAGGCAAGCCATAGGGCAAGAACAAGAAGCATCATTTCCCATCTACCATTACCTCTCACGATGTCGACGCCAAACCGCTCGCTGCCTGGCCAGGATGAACAGCGCCCATCGTTCCTAAGTGGGTCCGCAGCCTCACCCCAGTCAGCCGCACCATCTGTCTCGAGCCACCCTGGAGTGAGTATTGTCCATATTTTTGCCTGCATCGCTGACACAATCAGCAGGCTGGCCGTGCGTCGTCTGGGGCTTCGTCACTAGAGACGCAGCATGCGGCAATTCAGTCTATCCTGTTCACCGATCATGAGCAGTTCGAGGCTCTATCGTCGGAGATACAGCAGAAGGTCCTTGCGGCATTTGACTGGCTCTTGCTCTCTCCGGAAACACAGGACAGTCTAGGAGCAAAGCAACGCGCAAAGCAGGCCGAAGCTAACGCGAGGCAAGCCGAGGCTGACTGGTTGGCCAAGGCCATACGCTCCATCGAGGAGGCCGACCAGGACGCCATCAGCTTCCTACACAGCGTTTTGCTGAGCGATGACGGTGAACCTGGCTCGCCTGGCATGGATTCAGACGCCAACTGAGTGGCGAGAATTAGCGAAGGATCGCACAACGCATGACTGGCGCTGGAGGATTGACGCTATATTGTGATAGTAGTCCTACACTTCGATACTGAATATACAAGCTCTCATCGGATGTGAGAAACACACAGACAAAACGGACCTCCTCGCAATACACTTCAGGTCTTTCAACATAACCCATCAAGGACAAATTTTTGATTCGATCTGACTGTGTATGGGCTACCACGGAGAAGGACCGAAAATGGATACTTTCAAGTAGATGCCTCAAACATGCGGCGTCGGGCACTGCTAGCCGCGGTCCGGACCCTACTTGTGGTGTAAACAGGCAACTACAGCAACTGCTCAATGTTTGAAGAGGTCGTCTCAGCAATTTGGGAGCCTCAAACACCGAGAATGTGCGTAAGAGAGGAAGCGACACATACATGGCACTCCTGTGTATGTGATGAGCGTGAAGACTGGTGCGTACGTCTGGCAAGGAGTCGCGCTACAATGGGAACGACGCTGGCCCTCCTGCACACGGATCAGCCAGCTTCGGTGGGTGCCTGACACAACGTCGCAGCGCTGAGATCACTGGCTGAGATGACGCTCCCATTCCACATTGGACTCTTTGCTGCCGAGCTGGGATCGCTCCTGGTAGCACGACAATGACAACCTCAGTCACGACATTTGCTTCGACTTGTGTATAACGTACGAGGCGGTTCGCGGTGCCATGGTATCGCAGCCAAAGCTGCTCATTGGGCCCAGTATCTTACAGCTGCTTAATGTGACGTAAACAAACGTAGTCCTCCCTTTGCTGAAGGGTTGCAGCCATGCAAAGGAGTAATCGGCTTAACCGGAATGAAATGGCTCGTGTTCAGTGGACAACTCCTTTGCGGGTCGGCGGCTCCATCTCTAGGGCGTGGATAGCCATTATCAAGGCGCGTCGAGGTAGCAGTCGCCTTGATTACTGGTTAAGCAAATCCTGGTTGGATTGTGACAATTTTGCAGATAAGTAACAGTGACGAGATTGTCGTCGGCCAAATGGATGTTAAGCTGTCGCGGTGATCACAAGCGCAACTTCAAGGCAGGGTCTTGAGAGAGAACCAGACAAGGATAATAGAGCGTCACAAACACAACAGACCCATCAAGCACAGCATGAAGACATTTTCGAAACTATGGCAGGCCTATCTTTATCCTTGCAAGACGCAGCAGGCAGAACCAACACACTTCGGACGAACATGACGCCACTTGGTTGGTTTAGTTCGACAAGGTATTCCCGACACACCAATCGGAGGAGATCCCACACTTTCCCGAACCCGTAAATGCACCACCCTGCTTCGTAGCCAACGGGAATGACAGATCGCGCTTTTCGCATTCTCATTGGCTGCTTCCCTTCCGCGTTCATTTTGCTCCCCTCCAGGTTGGGCCCATGGCCCTAGTACTAGTCCTGAACTTTGTTCTTCTCATGGGTACTGTACCCTGCAACGTGTTACTGAATGGATATTGCCTTAAGCTAGTGGAGGGCAGAGACAAGGATGGGAGAACAGGACAAAGGTAGTGACATTTGTGTTATGTTCGGCAATAACCATCTCGGAGGCTTCTGCGGCGGACAAAACCGGCTGCCGTGTTCTTCATGGGCATGGGGTAGACTTTTTCCTTCAAGAGATTAGCGATGCGAAGCAGGCAATGGAGACACGAACGATATCAGCTCTGGATATCGGCCACGCCGGGTCATTAGTAGAGCTGTATTCATAGTGCCTTGTACCGGGGCGTTTCTAGCGATAGGAAACGCAGGCTCGCAAACACTTTCCAGTCACGGGCGGCAAATTCAAGTACGTTGCTGCTAAGAGTTAGCTGCAATCAAGGCGGGTTGCTGGTAAGTGACGCCAAACCCCCAGAATTCACCGCCCGGTATCAGTAGGAGCCCAACGCCCTGGTGAGCTTACTGGTCGCCTGGATCATCGCGACTGGTTGGGCAGTCAGAGATGGGACTTTCTAGCAGTAAGCCCGGCCGGCATGGGCGCTTGTGGCTCCCTTAGTTGAACGTTTCGGCAGCGCTTACCAGTCACGAGCGCCAAGTTCTAGCAGGTAACTGCTAAGACGCCGCTGTTTTCGGGTGGGCACTGGTGACTGACAAAAGCCCCAGCAAGTTCCTACCAGGTCCGGTATCTGACTGCCATGTCAGACGATTCCACGCCCGACCGGATGGCTTCTCGTGATAAAATGTGACGGGGTCTCGCCTACGCATGCATGCACTGCTGTGGTCGAAGAAGATGGCTTGTGGATGGTATTGCAATAGACAAATCTTCGTGCAGCCCACTGTTTGCTTGAGTAGGCCTGGTGATCCTCTTGATACCGCTCGTGTGGGTCGTGAGGCAAGTTTCTGACCCCTTGCCGTCGTCTGGCTGAGAACAGCCTACGTCTTCGTAATCGCAAAGAGTCTAAAACAGGCGTGCAAACCACGTCCGACACGTTCGCCGGCATTATGCGATGCTTTCCCTGAGTAAAAGGCTATGCGCATGGGAGCGGCCAAGTTTGGAGTAATCGCGTGTACGTCTCCACCCGGCTCAATGATCATCACCTGGTAGTCTCTGATGGGCTGGCCGTTAAGCACCGTACAACCAATCAATTCAGAGTACCGGTTCGAAATGCTCGCCACTTGCGGTGCAGGATCAGTGCCTACATAAATGACCGTCCGACCCACGTTCACCAGTTCGTGGGCTGCAGCTTCTTTTCATTGATACTGTACCTACCACTGCATCTTCGTCTGGACGACAGATGATTTTTATCGCTTTACTACTATCCAGCATCATATTACCGCCTGCTTGCGCATTCCCGCGCGACGATGACGACGATAAGGCAGGCTGCCTATCACTCTACGATTATATTGATTTTTTTTTTTTTTTTTTTTTTTTTTTTTTTTTTTTTTTGGAATACTAAAGACGCATGCTTGAATGTTGGGTTTACCTTTGTCCGCGAATCTATTTCTCGCCTAGAAACGAACAACGACTTATTTGAAGCTTAAATGCGCCAGTTGCACGCCTACATTCGATACAGTACATCAAGGAATTCTATTTTGCTTATCCGATCGTCGTCGTGCACAACACAACCCTGAACAGGGCATTTTCGAAGTAAACCTCATCCACTTCCCTCGAGACGCGACCGGATTCGACTCCTTTGGAGACTCGCAATCGGAACGTCACCGTTCCATTTTTTGCTTATCTTGCCGTCTTCCATGATGTTAGCTGAGGCTACCGACGATTCAGGAGGGGAAAGCAACGAAGACGAAGTTCTCCTAGTCGGCCCGGTCTAATAGCAGAGAAGCTGGAAGGCACTAGTAAATCGCGGCGCAAATGGTGCATCAACTGAGGGTCTAACCCATACTCGGATTGGGTGGGAAAGTTGGCTACCTCTTTCGTCGTGATGACTTGGAATTACCCATTCCTATAAAGAAACCGCGTACCTCTTCCGGCTTAGTAAGAATAATCTACTACCTCGGAAGGAGGAACGACGGAGGCTAAATATAATCAGTCAGAGTCCAGATTAATAAATAGGAATTGTCAGACCAGAGCATTCACGCATCCACGCTTGCAATATCATCGGTACGTGTCAACAAAATAAGCCGACACTGAAAACGATTCTTAAAACTTTTCTTGGAACAGCGTCGCTCGGCCAGAATACTGGACGACAAATGAGGACGATATCGGTGCGGCTTGGTTCATACTCCCAGACCATGTGCTTGGGGCAATGACATGGAATACTGCGCCTGGTCGATAGACTCTGACGGTTTATGGAAGACGAGGTTCTAGTTGTCATAACAAAATCCCCGAAAGATGTCATGTATCGAATCGGTTGATAGTTACTTGGCCAGTGGTTGTCTACTTGCTCGCCTCAAACACGCAGCAGCATTGCAATTGCCAACTAGCGCCCTCGCTTGCCGGGAGAAATTTCAAAGGCAGCAACTGAAGATGGGCGAATTGCTGAGTATTAAGCAGGCATCTCTGTTGGCCGGATCCTGCGCGTTGGAGCGGCAGGGCACGTTTGCGATCCCTTGCAGCCATCTTTGCTCATTCTGTGGACAATTCTCGTGGTCCGTAGCACTTAGGTACTAATGGTTGTCATAGTCAAAAGGATCTCTGCTGGCGTCGCTGGCTCCCACGAGTATTTATCCGGTATACATCACAATAAAACGAGCCGGCATAGTCTGGAAGTCTGCCACTAAATGTGTCAGCTAAAGTACGAGAAACTGACTTACTCGATCTCCAGCGATCATTTGGAAGCGCTGGCTTCCGACCCGTTCCTTAAGCTTTGCAGAAATTCTAGATCAGGATAGGAAAAGCTAAAATAAGTGAGCAAGGTGAGTTAGTGATACCACTTTGACGTTCCGATTCAGCAGGGCCAAGACTGGCTGTTGCCGAGTAACCTAACCGGGACAAGGGTGACGTCGGCTAGCCGACGCCAGGTGGACTTCAATTGTACGACGCTTGTTCTTCGACTGACCAGCTTCGGGCATGTTTTCGCAACATCGACAGCGGCATCCGCCAGAAACGGGTTAAGTCAAACCCATTTTTCGGGCCTTCTGCACTGTGGCTGTGGCGGGACTACTGAAACTTAAATAAGCGACGAAAATGTAAGAGGAGGATCTTTTTACCCAGCTCCACCACTGCCCCTTCTCTACTTCAGAATTTCCACCCAGCAATTTGGCTCTATCTGCGCATCAACAATTCGTGTCGCACCATTCCAAGCTGGCATTTAACTGACTACGTACGCGCCTACCTCTCGGAGGGAAGGGAAAAACCAATTCCCACATCGCCACGCGGTCGTAAGTTATGATGGCCGAGTTTTCTGCCCTCCCTCCACCAGAAAGCAGTGGCCATCAATTAATGCCATAGCGTATCCAGATGTTAGACTACACTCGGCTACCTTGTTCGGCACGATTGAACCGACCTTCCGTGCAAAGAAGCCCAGGAACGTGGAACCAGGTGGCGTTACTCGCTCGCAGGCCCGCTACGACACTCAGTAGT